GGCAAGCACAGGGTGTGCCTGCAGCCAGGTTTTAGATGTTGTATGTATGTGTTGTGTGCACACAGATATCCATACCTAATATGTTAGGAAATAAGTAGGGTGTTTTTCCGAGCTGCAGGGCACCGATGCTGTTAGGCCCTTCGTTTCACACAGAATGGGCAGGCACAGGGAGAACTATAGTATCTAAGGGGTTACAATATGTCACACTAGGTTTTATAGCACGATAGGTCTCAGAAGCAGTGTGTAGATGTGCCAAGCCGACACTACAGTTGCAAACTTCACCGTGCCGGACCGCACGATGCAAAAAACAGGGCATAGCAGTGCAAACCGTTGTGTATCACAGTCGAAAGCAGGGCTTCAAGGATTTTTTGTGGTATCGCGAGGGTTTGGGGTGGAGGTTCGACAACCCACTGGATTCCAGGCTTAAGTAGGGGAGGGGTTGTGTCCCTCCCATGTCCCTCCCGTGTCCCTCCGGTGTCCCTCCCGACCCGCCGGGTCGGACCGGCCGCACCCCCGGTTTCCTGTGGCAGTCCAGGGGCCTCCCCGGCCGTCCCGCCACCGTCCCGCCACCGTCCCGCCACCGTCCCGCCCCTGTCCCGCCCCTGTCCCGCCACTGTCCCGCCACTGTCCCGCCACTGTCCCGCCACTGTCCCGCCACTGTCCCGCCACTGTCCCGCCACTGTCCCGCCACTGTCCCGCCACTGTCCCGCCGGTGTCCCGCCTCTGTCCCGCCACCGTCCCGCCGCCGTCCCGCCACCGTCCCGCCACCGTCCCGCCACTGTCCCGCCACTGTCCCGCCACTGTCCCGCCACTGTCCCGCCACTGTCCCGCCACTGTCCCGCCGGTGTCCCGCCACCGTCCCGCCACCGTCCCGCCCCTGTCCCGCCCCTGTCCCGCCGCTGTCCCGCCACTGTCCCGCCACTGTCCCGCCACTGTCCCGCCACTGTCCCGCCGGTGTCCCGCCGGTGTCCCGCCACTGCCCGCCACCCCGGCACTGTTCCGCCGGTGTCCTGCCACTGTCCCGCGACTGTCCCGCCACTGTCCCGCCACTGTCCTTCTCAAATCAGGCGCATCTTCGAGCACATCTTCGCAATGGTCCGACGAAGTACAGGGCTCAATGCAGTAAGACCGTTCCGGGCACAGTGAAATGCAAGAAATGTGGGGCTATCATGCCCTCCTGTGTGTTTCCTGAGCACTATCTGAAGCATGGCACCAAGACGCAACAGACATTGGATAACATGCAGCACTCATTGGCTCGACCTGCAGGGAAGATTGCCGAAACTGATAGCCATCATGACCGGGGCGCCGCTCTTCGTCAACAACGGCCTCACGACTGCCGCGGATCAGCTCATGGACCCGATGATGGGAGTGGGAACGGAGCAAAGCCACGAAGAGCTACTTCAATCCCTAGGCTCAGTCCTTTCAGGCTCTCCAATGCTCCGCCAGCTCGTGTCGCAGGCTCCAACGCCCCAGCAACGGCAGACACCATCTCGGGCCCCGCCTGGCAAGCGACCTCGCGGACAAAACGATCAACGCCGTCTCGAAGCAGATCACGCTCACGATCCACAGGACATGCGGCAGATCATCCGACTCCTGACGATCTTAATCTTGAGACAAGAGGCCACCCTTCAGGCGATGTCCCTCAACACGGAGATCATCCTGTTCATCCAAGCTGGAGCTGGCTCCTGTCTACCCACGTTGGTCGAGACCTCGGCAGCTTGGCATCGGCAAGTTCAGAACAACACCGTGGATGCTCCTCTTCGCTTACGCATGGCGTCCAACTTTTGGAGTGCGCTTTCCGCGAGAGTGGAAATGGTCCAGGCCAATCTTCAAACGGAGCTCGGGCAGGGGCTACGGGACAAGGGCGTGCTGAATGCAGATGGAGCGTGGGTCTTCATGGCCTGGGATGCATCCAGCAGGTCACTCAAGCCAACAACGAAGACCCCCATTCCAATGACGGAAATGGTCTCAATGATCGCAAGCATTGCGGAACTAGTCAAACTGCCAGAGATGATCAACCAGTTCAAAGCTTTGAAAGCGCTCAAGAGTTTGGACTTGAAAAGCCCAACCATCATCGTGCCTTGGAAGATGGATGTCTCCCTACGCCACGAACGAGCGCAGCAGCTTTGGCAGCATCTGATGCGACTGGTGGGGAACAGTGTTACGCAGCTCCTCATGTGCCAGATGCGCCCGGCGAATCTGAAGAGGTCGAAGCTGAGCGAACAGATCTCCAAGTGTGTATTCGGCCCGAAGTAAAACATGAAGTCCTCGAACTACGGCTCTTCAATGACTGTAACTGCTGTTACATGAATGCGGTGCTGATCATTCATCTTTGGGTGATTGCCTCTTTGCCTTCAGCGAGGGCATTGCACACATGGTTTCGGGGTATGTTACAGGTGCTTGACCACTTCGAATGGAAAGCGTCAGTGTATGATATCCCAATCTTTCAAAACGCACTTACTGATTGGGAATGTGGTCATGCATACGGGCTTCAGCACGATGCTGCTGAATTTTATCAGTGGGGGCTCCAATGCCAGCTCTTTCCTCAGTGGCCTGGCTCATGGCAACAAAGACGCGACGGTGAAACAATCACCTCAGATTGCACGCCTATCATGCTGCCTGTTCTTTCCGAGGGAGCCTCACTACAGGATCACATTCGACATTGGCATGCATGCATGGACGGACTGCATGCGCTGGCTGCTCAGGCCGACTTCATATGCATCCAGGTGGGCGACGCACCTACCCTAGTGGAAGGAGCGTGCGCTGAACTTGCCATCCCAGGTTGCGGACTTCGTATGCCCGTTTTCACACAGGCTCCTGGCATAGATAATCGTGAGCACTTGATTGTGTGGCAGTCCTACATCGTAGTGGCCACTGCGCTACGGCGCGGATCAACGCGCGATGCAGGACACTATCAAGCGCTGCTATACACTCATCAACAGGTCTATCTATGTGATGACGCGCGATCCTCAAGGCCACTGACGCATGCACAAGTACTTCGCGAGGTCCTGGATACTTTCCTCATATGGGCAGTGAGAGCTGATGTAGCAGACATGCACTTGGTCCGTCGCCAGGTACCATCAGGCACCGAAGATGTCCCAGAAATTGCGGATTCTGGTGATGATGAGCCTCTGAGGCCTATCTCAAAGCCCGCAGTCTCGCTCGGAGAACTGCTACAGGCTCACTTTCAGTGATCCGCTCGAGTGGTAGTGTGAACCATAATTCGTTTGCTTGGCCGATGCTCTTCCGTTCATTCGTTTCTGCCGCTTTTTAATGATTTTCGGGGGTCCATGGGACAACACTTGTTTCGTTCTTTCGAGCCCCACCGTGCTAAGCGGGTGAGCTCAAACTTTTTGGGCAATCAGCTGTGACAGTGATGTTCATTTCTGGCTTTGAGCCTTTGAATGTCCACGCGTGTGAGCTGACTCACATGCGCTGTGACAGGTTTTGCATAGGCTGTGGATGCAGTTATGGTCTTTGGCGCCCAAACAAGAAAGGCCCCTAAGATGGCCGCGCTGAGGACTCGTCCTTGCTTCATTGGTAAGCGCTGCTGGGACTAGAACAAAATGTCCGGACTCCCACCAGAAGGAGCCCAGCAGATAGCCGGTGACCACGTCCAGCGAACTGGTGTGGCACTCACCGAGATTGCATCTCGCATGTCGTCTGGGGTTCACTGTAACAGGGATTCCTTTCCTTTTACTCTTTTACTCTTGTTTGCCCTTTGTTCTCACAGTGCACACGACATTGTGAAATTTTGCAATACGGGCATGCACAAGTTCAGGGTTGCGCGTAGCTAAATTGGCATTGCGCACTCAAATCTTCTGTGTTGCATCGGCCAGCTTGTCAAACCAGCATATTTCTGTGTGACCATGCATCGGTACACACATGTATAGCACTATGGATGTGCGTTTGGCCACCTTTTCGTACAGTTTTAGTGGGCCAAAACGTCACCAAAATTATGATGCGCGCGCGCGCGCGCGCGCGCGCGCGCGGGGGTTGGGGCCTGAGACAACATCATACAAGATGTTTACTTGGACTCCATTTCCACTTTTACACTTTTTACTCTTAGCAAGTTCGTTGCATAGCGCAGCGGACCGGCCAACTTTAGGCACCAAGGTGCAACGGCCGTCACGTTTTCGGACTTCTGTTGTTAGTTGGAGGGCTTGCTCGTCTACAAGACGACCAGTTTCGAAAGCGAAGCTGTTGCCCACGTCAGCGAAGAACCTTTCTCGCTACGTTGCAAAGCAAAAAGCCACTGTCCTGCCTTTTCAAGACTGTTTCCAGGTTCTTTTGCTGCTTGTTTGGCTCGCGAGGGTTGAACCAGTATCTAAAGTCTTCACACACAACACACACAGTTGTCACACATAGCATGCTGTTTGCTCTATGCTTGCAAATGCGAAGCTGCGAAGCTTCTGTATGCACGGAACAACACAACTTTTGAACTCCGAGTCTTCAGGCACGAATCATGCATAGTCATGCAGTGAGAGAGTCATGCAGCTGCTCTTAGCGGTCTGTTGCACACCATCAGGCATGCAAGAGAAAAAAGAAACACACGTCAGCTCACCTTTCATTGCTTCCACCATTTCCACCACCAGATTTGCTCCCCGCCATCTTGAATGCTGAGTTTCCAGCACCACCGCCACCTGGCCTGATGGCTAGGTGGCGGTGTGCGGGATCTTTCGTGCCGGCCGGCCTCACCACTTGCTGTTCCTTTGACGGAGGCAACCGTGCGGGTCTCCTCCTCTCTTTCGACCCTTTGAACCGCACGGCTACTCTGTGGCGAAGCACCCCGCTTCCTTTTGTCTGACATGCTGACTGCTAGCAGAAGGTTGATGCTTGAACACACATTCTGCGGATCAGTTTCAACCTTTGTGTTTGCAGCTTGGCAAGAAGGTGCATTCCCGTCAAGATTTGTCTCACAGTGGCTTGTTAGCTAACTAGTTAGAAAGGGAACCGTCCCCTTTGGAAAGAAGGACCGGTGGGCACCGGCCTGCCGGCCAATGGCCGACGATCATCTGGACACAGAGATCGCCGGCTACAGGGCCGGACGAGTGCTGCGGGTTCTTGGCCGCCCTTTGAGGGTGACTGAGCCTTGTGTTGGACTGGGAGGGCTACGACGGTTGTGTGAGCTGTCAGGAAGCCAGTACCTGTCCACACAGGGCTTTGACACGGAAGCTTCCTTGCTTCCCTACTACAATAACTTGCAGAGGTTTTGTGGTGCTAGCGGTGTCCAAGCCTTGAGATTGGGCACTGACGGCGATGTGGAGAAAGTTAATCCGGAGAGCTTGTTGCCCGTGGAAGCCATTGTGGCTGGCCCCCCGTGCCAGCCATGGGCAGGAACCGGACAGCAGCAGGGCACAGCTGATGCAAGAGCTTCGGTCATGGATGTCTGCATCGGCTGGATCATAGCTCAGGCTTGGCAGGGTCAGCTGCTAGCCTTCGCTGTGGAAAACAGCCCCCGGCTGCGTGGAACTCCATATCTGCGGGAGCTGCTGCAGCGACTGCGGGCGTGCATCCCCATGTTTGCTGTCTCCGTGGAAGTGCATGACCTGTGTCAGCTTTGCCCGCAGCACCGGGAGCGTTTGTGGATCCGGGGCTTGAGGAGGGATTGCCTCCGAGGCTTGCCTGGCCTGCCGCCGCCTTTGAGCATGAAAGACCTCGGTGGCAAGGTGAAGGTGCCTTTGGAGACCGTGTTGGTCGAAAAACATGGCGATGGAAAGGTGCTTAAACCAACGGACCCAGGATCACTCTGCCCAAACATGCAGTGCAACTTGGCGGCCTATTTGAGTCGTGTGCAGGGAGACATAGAAAATGGGAAAGCAGGCGAGATAGCCGTGATCGAGCTGGACCGCAATCCTTTGAAGGATTTCGGCGGCGGTATAGTCTACGACGGCACCCCGCCTCTGCGAACAAAAGGGCCGAAGCTGTGGCTGCTTCGGACACAAGATGTCAAGGAGAAGCGCCCTTGGCAAGAGCACAGCTTGCATAGGTACATGCTACAGGAGGAAGACACGTTTCCGCGGGCGGATAACTCTTTCCACCTAAACTCCAAGGTTGTTTTATTTGAGGGAAATCCTTCGCCCTCAAAATGGCGACAACCGCGAACCGTTTAATTGCATGATTTCAATCTTTTAAATTTGTGTGAAATCATGATTTTATCACACAAATGTTTTTATACCTGTCTGGTCTTTGCATGCAGTTCTTTTCACGCATGTCTCAGTTCCGAATGTTTAATGCACCGGCAGTTTGTAGCTCAAGTGGCTTTGGGAGCCACAAAGAAAATTTTTGTAGCGGGGGAGCCGGTGTGCAGTCTTAGTACCCTCGGGGAAAAGTCTGTGTGCTGGCCGGTGTGTCCTAGGCCCGCTGCATGCGCCAACAGGAGCTGTGGAACGTTGATCTTGATTCCTCTGGTCGCTCCGGCAGTCGCTCTCCGTCAACAGTGAGCCTGGTTAGTCGGCACGTGCATCAACTCGATTTGCAGCTGCGCACCCTTAGTGCCCACGTGACAGCCTGTGAGCGCCGTATTCGCGAGGTGGAACGTCAGCTTGCCGAGCTCCAGCAAGTGCGCGAACCGCAGAGTGCCTCCTTTTGGGATTCCTTCAGGGCTTGCTTTCCTCGTTCCTAAAATGAGTGACGCTTGTACCGAGTCCCAACGGGCATTCTTGGAAAATTTGCAAGAGAGCTTGCGTGCTTCTCGTGAGATTCAGCAGCCTGTTGCTGGCCCGCCTCCGTGGTCGCAGGCCTTCTCAGAGTCAGGTGCGCCGGCCCCCAGTTTTCCGCACGAGAGAGACCGCTCTCGTTCCAGATCCAGGAGCCCGCCACGGCGTGCTCCGTCAGGGGGCTCTCTTCTTGCTCAGGTTCTTCGTGAGGCTGCCACTGCCCTTGAACAGCAGGTTCCAGCTTCTGAGTTCAGGCTTTTGCACTATCGGGTCTCTTCTGCTGAGGGCCGCTTGCAGCATTTGCTCCTGGAGGATGAAGGTGCGGTCCGCCGCCTTGGCGAGGACCCTTCCTACACAAGTGCGTTCTTCTTACTCAGCAGTGCAATCCAGAGTTTGACTCAGGGGCTCGAGCAGCAGGCTTCGCGCATTGCTGTTCTCGAGGCTGCGGTGCTGGCCCTTCGCGGCGCTGACCCTAATCCCTAACCTGCCTCAGCCGATGCCCTTGCTTTCCGGCGGACCCCCAACCCTGGATAGTGCCACGCGGCCTCTTGAGGGTCGCCTCTTTTCCAGGGCTCCGCTACAATTTTGAGCTCAGGAGGACATCGTGCTAGAAAGCTCAGCGCTGTGCCCCGCAGTCTTGCGTGTTGCCTTGATTGCACATGTTGCAAGCCTTCCAAAACTTGGCTGAGCTTCGTCATGCAAGTTTTGTTTCAAGCTGTTGACCCAGGCTTTCTTCTGCCATGGAATCCTTTGCGGCCGATTCCTGTGAATTAAGGGGTTCTACGGCCCAGGAACCTCCGCAGGAAGCCCCGGCTGAACCAGTCCCTATTCAGCCAGAGCCAGACCAAAACTCTCATCTTTCAGAAGGACAGCCTCGTTGCGAAAGCCCCGTCCGGTTGGAGGACGAACAAGGCGATCTCGAGTTTCAACAACATCTTGACGATTTGCTGTCCCGGGCTGGAAGTGACGCGAGGGACCAACTTGATCTTCAGGAGGCTGATGACGGCGCCTGCTTTGGAGTGAGTGGCTGGAGCGATCTCGGTTCCGCAGCCGAGGAAGCTTGGTACGGCGATGTGCGCCGGCCTGCCAGTGATGAAGCTGAGGCTTCAGTGTGGTCAGTTGTCGAACGTGGACCCGAAGCTCCGAAACTCTTGGCTTCGCCTATGGACGACAGGGATGTGCAAAGGGTTGCGGCGGAGCTTGAAAGGAAGCAGGCTGCCGAGACAGTGCCGAAACAAGCCTGGGAGCTCCCAGGCAGATTGAGCTACGCTTGGGAAGTTAAGAGACCTTTGAGGCTGATTGGCATCCCCGAGGTTGCTACCTCACTGGACCCCGAGCCGGCATTGGAGACGGAGCTTAATCTGAAGCTGAACCCCATGGTTCGAAAATACTTGGAAAGGATGCCTGTGCAGAGGTCCGAGGAAGAGGCTAGATCACACGCGCTAAAGAACTTGAAGTTTATGATCCTTTTCGACGTCGAGGCCACTCAGCTGGGGATGAGCCTAGCAGGCTTGGTCGGTCGTGCGGCTGAAGAAGACGAGATCAAAAGCTCTTTCGTGGCGGCTTTCCGCTTGAAGGCCACCAGCACCCTATGCAAGAGAACTTCGGCCCTTCTGAAGTTCTTTAGGTGGGCACTGAACGGCTCCCTGCACTCGCCGCTTTCTTTCGGTGAAAAGCACCTCTTCGACTACATGAAGGTTTTCCAGAGTGGCCAAGGGGGCCCCACTTCGGCCTCCCAGTTCCTGGAAGCTCTTCGCTTCTTGCATGGGGTGGCCGTCTTGAGGCACGTCGCCCTCGACGACTGCATCAGTGCAAGGGTCAAGGGTTTGGCAGCAGACCTCTACCTGACAAAGGCCCCCCTAAATCAACGGGATGAGCTCACTCTTAAGATGGTCGTGGCGCTGGAGACGGCTATCGACATGGAGAACGACCGAGACGCTTGTATCATGGGGCAGCACTTATTCTGCCTACACTCGGGGGCGAGGTGGACGGATTCGCAAAGGCTGAAGTCAATCACCGTGCAAACCTCCCATGGCGAGACCTTTGTGATTGCGGAAGGCCTCACCTCGAAGACTTCGAAGACTCAGGAGGCCAAAACCCGGCTGCTGCCCTATGCAGCGATTGGATCGGGTGTAAAGCTTCCGCGGGCAAACCGTTGGCTCGAAGCTCGCCAAAACCAAGGATTGAAGCTTGGGGCCTTCACCCTGCCGGGCTGGTCGGAAACTTCCGGAGAATGGACTTCCCTGCCTATGTTAGCGGGGGAGGCTACCTCTTGGTTGCAAGATTTCCTCTTGAGGGCTGGCTTTGAAGAGGAAGAAGTCCTGAAGCGCGGCTCCCACTCGCTGAAGGCGACACTTACTACTTGGACCTCCCGGTGCCCGACGGTCTCTTTCTCCTCTGGTGACCAGAGGTTGGTGGGCCATCACGTGAAGCCCAAAGACAAGTCTCCTTTGATCTACTCTAGGCAGGCATACACCGCTCTCTACGGCAAGATCCTCGCGATGTTCATCGACATTCGTGAGGGACGCTATGATCCGGATTTGCCGGAGGTTGATAGAGTCCTCGCTGCAGCCGCTGAAAACTCGCATAGAAGGCCAACTGAGCCTAAGGCAAACACGATCCCTCCCGCAATCGGGCCTCTCGATGAGGCTAGCGGAGAGGAGGGTGGCTCGACTTCCGAAGGGAGCGAGGAAGCACTCTCGGGGGAAGACCGAGCCGATGTGGCGAGAGCACCTTTTCAGCAGCCGGTGGACTTGGAACTTGTTTACGTGCACCGGGTGTCAGGCGTTGTTCACTGCCTGAAGGACCCTCGAAGCACGGATTTCTTTTGTGGTCGTTTCTTGACCGCAGCGTACATGAAATTCGGAAGGGCCGGCGCGGCAGCAGCAGATCCAGATTGCTGCATTCAGTGCCGGAGAGCGCGCGACCGGGAGCCGGTTTGAGGCGAGCTTTCGACGATCAGAGGAGATCTGGGCCTTGGCCCATCCTCGCACCTTTGCCTGCATGCAGCTTAGGCAAAACATGGTGTGTCGTCGGTCTCAGTGACAGCCTGCAGTTATCGCACGAATGTCTGTTTGTATGAGGCGCTTGACTCAAGTCACTTAGCGCTAGAGGGTTGCGAGCATGGCCGGAGTGACATTGGACTCGGAAGCAGCCTTTAAAGAACGTGCTTTGAAGGTGGGACTCTCTGCTGCAAATCACGCCACCCTGGAAGCGCAGGGATACAGCACTTTTGGCGCCTTGGCTTTCGCAGTTTCAGCCTCGCCCAACAGCGTCAGCGAGGAAGAGGTCAAGGAATGGATTCGTGCAGTCTTCACACCGGCACCCGACCACCACCAGGTTTCCTGCTTGCGACGTTTGCTTTTCGAGGCCCAGGCCCTCTCAATCAGTGACATGAAGAACCGAGTGGAGCCTTCAAACGATTTCGTCACCAGGAAGATGCCAGTTGCCGAGCGCCTTGCCAGGCAAAAGGCGCAGGAATCCCGGCTCACAGGGATACATTTTTCGCCAGAGACCACACCATCCCATGGTGTGGTAGATCGACTTGTGGAAATGCTTGAAACCGGGACACTAGTCTACCTGCCTCCCGGTAAGTACCTCTCAAGGGCTCAGGAAATTCAGTCGGCCAAAGCAGACAAAGCTTTGTCGATTGATTCAGATGGAAACCTTAAGGTCACTTCCAAGCTTGACAAGTTCGAACATTGTGACACGGGTTCCGAGTGGACCCTTCGCCAGGCTTGGGCGAGAAGGAGCCTCGCCTTTGATCTTGCGGGCCTCGCGACATATCAGGCCATGGAGGCTTGGGTGCATAAGCTTTTTGTGACACTTGAGCGGCCTTCCCCTCCTGGCTACCACGGAGTGGCGTTGACTCAAATCGTGGCAGCCGATCGTCACTTGTTCACCCTGGCCGCCTCCAATCTGCTAGGAGCCCTTGCTGCCGCCCCGGGCCGCGTCAAACCGCTTGATGAACAGCTTAAGCTCCTCAGCGATCACAGTGATGTGTTGCAGTTTCTGAATCACCTGCCTGCCCAGAGCTTGCCGTCCAATCCTCTCAAGCGCTCCGAGAAAGGTGACACCCCCAAAGGCCGAGGCAAAGGCAAAGGCAAGAAAGGCAAGGATCGTGGAACTGCTGCTTCCATTACCGTGCCTGAGGGAGCAGTCACTAAGGTGAATGACAAACCTGTGTGTTTCGCCTTTAACTGCGGCTCCTGCAAGTTCAAGGTGTCCAAGAAAGGCAGGTGCGGGCGAGGCTTTCACCTGTGTTGGTGGAAAGGCTGTGGTGGTGCCCACCCGGGGCACGAGTGCACAAAGGCTCGCCCGAATCAGTGAAAGCCCGCAGGGACCGCGGCGCACCCTGTGGATTCCCAGTCGTCGCAGTGCCAGGCAAATGTGCTTGCAGAGCCAAGGGGCCCTCCTTTGCACCCTGCCGAAATCTTTGCAACATCCCTTTTGGAACTTTCTTCGGCCAGTCGTGTAGATTTGCTGAAGCTTTTTGACTTGCTCCCTCACGAGGATGCGCCTACTGCTGGGCGTGCAGAAGCTGGAGGTTTTTCCTTCGGCACCGGCACCTGGGTGCATGGAAACCTTGTGGGATTGCGAAACAACTGCCGCCTTTTCCCTTTAAGCACTAAAGTTTTTACTCGTTTTGTGTTGCAGGAGTGCCCCAGCCACTCCTTTTCTGCCATAGTCATCCTTGACAACGTTTGCACTGTCGCGCACCGCGACACTCATAACCTAGAGTCGGCTCGCAATGCTGTTTTCGGGCTGTCTGATTACTCAGGCGGCGAAGTCTGGGTCCAGAATGCTCAGGGCCTCACGCCCCTGGAGGTGAATGGCAAGAGGCTTCTGGGAGTTGCTTTGCCAACGATCCCGGGCCCTGCTGTCTTCTCAGCCAGATCGGCCCTACATGCGACCTTACCATGGTCTGGCCGCCGTGTAGTCTTAGTTGCGTACACAACAAATTTCA